TGTGTGTGTGTGCCTAGGTTGACTCCGCCTCAAATGAGTACCTGGTGTGTAAACATTTCCACGAGGGAGAAAAAGGCGGCCGGGTGCGGTGCTGGCCACCCACCTCCCTCATGTTGTGCCAACCTTCAGAGGTGCTCGCTTGCCCCAACAGTCTGAGGCTATACGGGGGATCTTTGTCTTGTGTGTTCCTGTGTGTGCTACATTTTAGTTCATGCTACGGACACCGTTCCTCCGACCGCCTCTCCCCAAATCCCTTTGCCTCGGAGCCCATTCATCTGATCCTCCCATCACCCACTGATCCACCATCGTATTACCCAATGTTCTCTTCACACACCTTCTTTCCTTTGAAAACAATTGTCTCCGATGCCAATTTTTGCCAATCCCTCCGCTCTCCAACACCGCATCTCGTTATCCCCCCTTTTTCTCAGATCCCGCTTTTCATCCCCTTTCCTCTCATCGCCGCTGTCCCATCCTGAAGCTGTCGAGACTTCCATTCTCCCCAGCCCCACCTGCCCCCCCCCGTCCCCCGCCCCATTGATGCGGGAGCGATGGAGCCGGTCGATATCCCAAGTCTCGAGCCACCGGCTCGAAGTCCGCCCACCTGGCGCACGCATCTCCTTGGCAATCTTCCCCCCCCCACCACCACCTCGTCACTATCGGGCGGTTACGATGATGATGTCGCGTGGAGGAGGAGGAATAGGCGGAGTGGGAGCTGCAACAGTTGGCGGTTTGACGGTGAAAGTTTTTAATGCCGTACCCAGTCACGAGGTGTGTGAGCCGCGGAGTGATTTTCGGAGATGGTGACGAGAAAAGTGAATGTTGGTGACGACGGTGGTGGTGGTGGCGGCGGCGGCGATGAAAATTCATCGCCGCATTTTCACCGAAGATCGAACGGAAAAGAAGAGGAACATCCTAGATTTGAAGCTTTCGTGACTGCAAGGATTCATACTCTTGGGTTTTATTCGGTCAAGTCACGTAGGTAAAATAAAATAAAATCAAAGAAAACAATTAAATCACGACGTTTCGGAGGCAACAGAAGCTTCCGTCTTCAGGTGGAATAGTCACAGCAGAAAATCTGTGTTAAGTACAGGTGTACTGTGTTAAGTACAGGTGTAATTAACACAGATTTTCTGCTGTGACTATTCCACCTGAAGACGGAAGCTTGTGTTGCCTCGGAAACGTCGTGATTTAATTGTTTTCTTTGATTTTATTTTATTTTACCTACGTGACTTTACCGAATAAAACCAAAGCGTAAGAGGAACATTCGTCGATGAGACTTGAGTCTCACGCTTTGAGCTCCACCTTTGCCATGTGAACTGTTCTTCTGTCACCTCGTTTAGAGCGAGTGATGATATTCACAGGTGCATGCAGCTAGCTGCTAGGCGGATCGTTGCATCGTAAGGCTGTGAGAGATTTCGGCCTTCATCCAGCGGCGGATAGAAGACAGCTCGTGATGACGTTCCTATTAAATCGTCGGCTCAAGTTACCCACGGAAGTCATGCACGCAATTTGACTCGATGGACAGGGAAGAGGAGAACACGGACCAACGGACCAAACTTAAAGAAGAGCAGGCGCGCACAGAGGGGGGGGGGGGGGATGGTGGCTGGCAGAGACGCAGCGACGATCCGAGCCGAGGTGCCAGAGGGAGATGCGATACGGCAACCTTCGTCAGCTGGCGGGGTCACGCACGATCTACGGCGGCACCACGCTAAATTTCACGCGCAAATGTGTAAACAAACGAAAAACTTGAAGGAAGGTCATTTGTTATAATTCTCCCACTTTGTTTAACACGTAGGCTTTCGCGACCATTATGATCCTAACCGGAAGGTTTTGTTGGGTTACATCGCGTAACTATGAATAATAATGTGTCATTAACGACGTTGCGGAGACGTCAAAGCCGGCTCAGCCAAGGCCCCCTTCTCCTCACCCTCCGCTCATGCCACGGGAGCATTATCGAGAGACTTCAAGAGAGGTGGAGACATGTCGGTCGGTTAGTTGCGTGGACGCTGCATCTGATCGACATCGCCCTGCACACTAACGCCACGGCGTTTCAGATCGAAATTCAGATGGGAATGAGCCCGGGAATAGGATCCCGCACTTGGCAACGCGACACGAAAGTCCAACGAAGCAGGATGGATGGAGGGGGCGGGGGGCCATGTGGATGCTCCAATTGGAAAGATGCAGGGGGTAAATGATCCACACGAACATGGTTATTCTTATCAAGTACATTCCCCAACTCTTATTATCCACTCTGTCTCTCTGGCCTCTCTAAACGTGTGCTCTAGAAGAAGAGCCATTGCTTGAAACATCGCCGTTATATATTTGTCTTTGTAATGCTACTTAGACAAAGATCCCCCGTATAGCCTTAACATATTGTTGGGGCAAGTGCTGTTAGCGAGTAGCACCTGTGAAGGCCGGCACGGCACACGAGGGGGGTGGGTGGCCAGCACCACGCCCGACCGCCTTTGTCTCCCCAGTGGCGATGTTTTTACACATTTGAGACAGAGTCAACCTAGGGGAGGCCCAGTCGACCTCGGGGAAGCCGAGGACCGGTTCAGATAATCGTCGCCGGTGTTGGCCGTGAGTGGGAATAAGAACTCGGGTTGCCGGGTTCGTAGCGCAGCGTAGTGCCGACCGCTGCACCACCGCTCCCCACATGTACACACGTGCGGTATTGTGTTGTCTGCACCACTGCCATCGCAGCAGCAGCAGCATCGCCCAAACAATTCGCTTAATTTAGAGCAGTGGTCTTTAAGCTATACTGCAGCCTCGCACCCCTTTGGTTCTCAAGCGTTTAAAACAACGTACAACGTTAATAAGCACGAAGGGTTTGATGAAGCAAGGTAAGTTACAACTTACGTGCCCCGTGCTTAATTTGTGTTTGCGATGATTTACCTTGGAACACAAAATCTGGCCATGTCTCACATCCCCCAGCAGGGGAATCTCGCACCCCACTGATTGAGAACAAGGGCAACGGGACCGAGATAACCTGTCCACGTGCCAATTGCCAGTTGCGCGCGGCAGGGAAGGGCTTTCGTAACGCATCCCCCGTCGGCGAATGCGGCCGGTGGCGCAGCGGCGGCTGCGTCTCCGTGGTGGCGTCATTCGTGGTGGAGTGAGCACGCCCAGCATGCACCACGGTGCGGAACGACTGCGGCGTTCCGAATCAGCGACTGACGACAGTCACCTTGGGGCTCAAATGACCACGACGCCGCCGCTGTGGAATTTGGTGCCCTAAAGGGGCGATGGCAGTGGCAGCACCGCAAGTGGCGGTGGCACGGGGGAGGCCTCCATCCAGCAGTGGATAGCATGCGGCCCATGACAGCGAAGCCTCCATCCAGCAGTGGATAGCATGCGGCCCATGACAGCGAAGCCTCCATCCAGCAGTGAGCGGATAGCCTCTGGCCGGTGGTGATTGTAAGGCTTCCATCCAGCAGTGGAGACACCGTCGACCGATGGTGTCTTTCTATAAACCGATAATCATCACTCTACGATGATGTCTTAAATATTTATCTCAGTTCTCAAATGATTGGTCGGCAAATGTCCCGAACATCAGCGCAGCCCCATTGAGCCCGTGTTGAAGGAGGGGGGGGGGGTGGAATATGACATCGCTGAACTAATTCTCGAGGTCCCCCTTGAACCGCCTCTGACCCTTCCAATCCCATCGTGCAACTCACTGAGCTGTCATCCGCTATCGGAGCAGGAATAACCCGTTCTTAAGTGATGGATTCAACATGAGATTGTTTGTGAACTTCAACTGGCTGGACTTGAGAACCCGGTTCCATCGCGGGCGGTTTAATTCGCACGGGTTGGCTACGTGCGGTGCGAAAGAAGTTCGACACACAGTACATAATGTACATACAACGCCGAATTCGAACCCAGGATCTCGGAGGTGCCAAGTATATGCTCTCTATATGTAGGTAAACACATCGACACGTGCACACACGCGTGTACGCACACATCGACACGCACACAGCGACGCGTGTACGCACACATCGACACGCGTACGCACACAGCGACGCGTGTACGCACACAGCGACGCGTGCACGCACACAGCGACGCGTGCACGCACACAGCGACACGTGCACGCACACAGCGACACGTGCACGCACACGTGTACGCACACAGCGACACGTGCACACACACAGCGACACATGCACACATACACGTGTACGCACACAGCGACACGTGCACACACACACGTGTACGCACACAGCGACACGTGCACACACACACACGTGTACGCACACAGCGACACGTGCACACACACGTGTACGCACACGGTCGTGTAGCAGTCACCACCGCTCCCCCCACACGCGGACACCAACACAGCCGCCATTCGCCACTACGTGACAGCGCCTGTGCCAGGCTAGGTGTACTTTGAGCCCACATGAAGTGTCGAAGGCCACCGCTGACAGGTGTACACACACACAGTGACACGTGTACACACACACACAGTGACACGTGTACACACACACACACTGACACGTGTACACACACACACAGTGACACGTGTACACACACACACAGAGCACACCGGGCACACCGCCGCCCCGTGCCCGCTGCAGTCACCGCGAGACGGACTCCGACACTCGGGCCCAGCCGCTCGCGAATTCTCGCCACTTTGTTCGCTTCCCCGTGACACCCACACGCGGAAACAACGCAACGCGTTCCACTGAGCGCCTCGAGGGCTTCGCACGAAACTCGGGAGTGGGGGGGGGGTCCGTTTAATGAGGCCCCTCAAATTACTCTCCAAACAGCTGCGACGAAGGTCCGAACTTCAGGTCATCGCGGGCAATGATAACGGCGAGCGGACAGATGCCGAAAGGAGGGGAATGAGATTCTCAAAGTTGATTGTTCGGACAAGAATCAACCAGCTGCGAATGGTTCCGAGCAGCGCACATCTGCGGGGGGGGAGGAGGAGGGGCTAACATCTGGGAGGAGGGGGGGGTCCTAAAAGTTAAAGGCCCCCCCCCACCCCTCGCCCACTCCACACTCACCATGGCGAAGCCGGAGAGGAGAGCTGAAGTCCCGCTGGACGCTTTGAGCTTCGCTTTACTCAGCTGCAGCTTGCGCAGCTCCAGGGCGCGGTACATCGCCGCGTCAGGGTGCATGCCCCCCGCAAGGGGGTACCCCCGGATCCCGGGCTCACAGGGACGCGGGCGACCTCGTTCGCGCACCGCCGTCGTCGTCTTCCTCGTGCTAGAGGAATCACGCGCGCGCAGTGGCCGCCTCCGCTGGTTCCTCGCCGAGCGCTGTAGAGGCGCTGTCTGTAGTTGGAGGCCACGTGGGGGAGAGGATTGGGGGGGGGGGTGATGAGGGGGGGTGCGAGAGGAGGTGGCTGTGGGAGCGATAATTCAACACCGCCGAAGACTCCCGCGACACATCCGGGGGGGGGCGCACGGTCGGCATCGGCCTCGCTCGTCCCGCCCTCAGGGCCCACGCCCCCTCCGCCCCTTCCTCAGCCCCGAGCCTCCCTCCATGCCAACCCGATACCCAATATCAGCCCTAACCCTATTACAACCACAACCCCAATGTTAGCCCTAACCCTATTACAACCACAACCCCAATGTTAGCCTTAACCCCATTACAACCACAACCCCAATGTTAGCCCTAACCCCATTACAACCACAACCCCAATGTTAGCTCTACTCCCATTACAACCACAACCCCAATGTTAGCCCTACCCCTATTACAACCACAACCCCTATGTTAGCCCTAACCCCATTACAACCACAACCCTAATGTTAGCCCTAACCCCATTACAACCACAACCCCAATGTTAGCCCTAACCCCATTACAACCACAACCCCAATGTTAGCCCTAACCCTATTACAACCACAACCCCAATGTTAGCCCTAACCCCATTACAACCACAACCCCTATGTTAGCTCTACTCCCATTACAACCACAACCCCAATGTTAGCCCTAACCCTATTACAACCACAACCCCAATGTTAGCTCTACTCCCATTACAACCACAACCCCAATGTTAGCCCTAACCCTATTACAACCACAACCCCAATGTTAGCCCTAACCCCATTACAACCACAACCCCAATGTTAGCCCTAACCCTATTACAACCACAACCCCAATGTTAGCTCTACTCCCATTACAACCACAACCCCAATGTTAGCCCTACCCCTATTACAACCACAATCCCTATGTTAGCCCTAACCCCATTACAACCACAACCCTAATGTTAGCCCTAACCCCATTACAACCACAACCCCAATGTTAGCCCTCACCCCATTACAACCACAACCCCAATGTTAGCCCTAACCCCATTACAACCCCAACCCTAATGTTAGCCCTCACCCCATTACAACTACAACCCCAATGTTAGCCCTAACCCCATTACAACCCCAACCCCAATGTTAGCCTTCACCCCATTACAACCACAACCCCAATGTTAGCCCTAACCCCATTACAACCCCAACCCCAATGTTAGCCCTAACCCTATTACAACCACAACCCCAATGTTAGCCCTAACCCCATTACAACCACAATCCCAATGTTAGCCCTAACCCCATTACAACCACAACCCCAATGTTAGCCCTAACCCCATTACAACCACAACCCTAATGTTAGCCCTCACCCCATTACAACTACAACCCCAATGTTAGCCCTAACCCCATTACAACCACAACCCCAATGTTAGCCCTAACCCTATTACAACCACAACCCCAATGTTAGCCCTAACCCTATTACAACCACAACCCCAATGTTAGCCCTAACCCCATTACAACCACAATCCCAATGTTAGCCCTAACCCCATTACAACCACAACCCCAATGTTAGCCCTAACCCCATTACAACCATAACCCCCATGCCAGCCCTACCCCATTACAACCACAACCCCAATGTTAGCCCTAACCCCATTACAACCACAACCCCCATGCCAGCCCTACCCCATTACAACCACAACTCCTGCTAACAACACGACGAACCGCACAATGCGCGGGCGAATTGCATCGCTCAATCTCTTCGCTGGCTGTCCTCTCCTTGCTTCCCTGGAGCATAGCGAAGTACAGTACAACGTCGCGTCTTGCTCCACCGGCCTCTGCTGGCAATGCAGCCCCGGTAGTATGTTACACATCGAGGATTCATTCGCGTTAAACCGATCGATTCCAGGTTACGAAAGTCAGGAGCCGGTCCTCGTTTCGAGTGGTGGTGGGAGTCGATCAGTGGGGGTTGCGCTGCTCCACGTGGCTATGATCCAGCGCTGTGGAGGCAGCAGCGAGGGGTTGGAGGATCACCGCCCAGATATTTGTATGTTTAACTTTTTTCGCACAGTACGTAGCCGACCGTGCTAATCGGAGGTGCGGGGAAGGACTACAAACTAACACACACAAAGCAGTTAGAAAGAAACGAGTTTTAAATCGAGATTGTTGATAAAATATTATGTTGCGAAACTCCCTTCCCGTGGGCGTTGCCAGGAGAGGGCAGTACAGCAAAGTGTGGACTATTCGCCATCTGTTTCAATCTGTACGGGGATCGAGTGTAGCCCCCTCGCGCAAGGCATGGATGAGTTTATCCGGGTGTTGTTGCCTCCTCGCGCGCCTGGGTGGTCTCTGAGTTCTCCGGTTTCTTACCACGTGCATCAACTCGTCATTAATTGGCTGAAAATAATTAAATACATAAAAACCCAACGTGCCAGCAGGACCCATCGTGAAAACTCCGTGTGGCTCTCCTGGAAAAAGAAGTTAAATCAAATCAAATCTGTGTCGAAACCGGTCCAGGATTACAGGCCACGTGCATGGCCGCCACCACCGCCCTGATTGGGTCTCATCAGCAGAGTCAGGCTCGCTTATAGATATATTTTTAAACTTTTCATAACTGTAAATCATTCATATTGTTGTTAATAATTTAAAGATTTGGTCCCATTCCTAAATGTTCTCGCTGGGTGTGGCACTGATAAGAAGGCACAGCGGCTACAAAAGGACGGGCGGCCCTGGCTTGGCCCGACACCACCAACACCCTCCCTGCACCCCTCCCCCCCAAAGTTCACTCTTCCACTGAGCGGTGCGTGAACAACTCGGCACGGTCGTCTATAACGCTGTGTGTGTGCGTGGCCTTAAACGGGAAGATATATAACAGGAGACGTTTAGGGCAATGGCCCCTTTTTCAGAGCCCATCCAGAAGGCTCATTGCCCGAAATGTCTCTCTCCTATTCTACGTTTTTCATTTTAAGGCCACGGTGTTATTTGTGTTCGTGCACTCGCTCACAGCACTTGCCCCAAAAGTCTGTTAAGGCTATACGGGGGGACCTTTGTCTGTGTGTCTGTGTGGGGGGGAGCGATTGTGTAGGGTTAGCGCGTTGCACTACGAAGCTGGCCGACCTAGGTTCGATTCCCGCTCATGGCCAACACCAGTGACGATTATCTGAACCGATTCTGGGCCTCCCCTAGGTCGACTCAGACTCAAATGAGTCACTGGTGTGGTGTCTATCCATGCCACTGGGGAGACAATTGCGGTCGGGCGTGGTGCTGGCCACCCACCCCACGTGTGCCGTGCCGGCCTTCAGAGGTGCTCGCTAACAGCACTTGCCCCAACAGTCTGTTAAGGCTACACGGGGGATCTTTGTGTTTGTGCCACAACACAGCCCAGCGTAAACACGAGAAAGGCTACCACACGCCAACAGGATGTGGGCACGTGCCTTATTAATTAAATTATTTTAGTTATTATAATCACTCCGCTTTTGTGTACCCCAGGAAAGGCTCGCTGAGTCTCGAGCCTCTGTGTCAGGATGGATGAGAGGGCGTAGTGATGTTGCCGCTGCTACGTGTGTGTGTGTCATCCCAACGGAGTCATTTGCGGGTACATTTCTCAGCAATTGGGATGATTGGCCAATACCAAGCAGAGAGCATGAATTGGTGGCGTAGTAACGACATTATCAGCTCACGGGGTGCTGTAAAAGGTCAGGTGCGGTCCCAATACTGTTGATAACATTTTATAAATATATCTTTTATTTTACCAGGGAAGGCCCACTTAGCTGTATATTTTTTTTTCAGAAGCGACCTGCCCACACATGATCGCTCAACGAAGCGGCTTAACATCGTGTGGACATTTAGAGCAGCCAAATACTCTCACCGCATGTTTCTAAATATGGAGGGAAAAAACCGGAGGACCCGGAGAAAAATCCACACGACCACGGGGAGAAAGACACGCAAACTCCAGACCCACGACCTCCTGCATACCAGGCGAGGGAGATAACATCTCACCACCGTGGCGCCCATGGTGGTTGCCAAGGCGACACCAACGCGTATCTTGGACCACTTGGGGGGGTGTGGGGGGGGGGTAAAGCACCCCCTGCCCCCACCCTCCTTACGGTACTGGGAGTAATCTCAGGAATTTAACTGCAGATCGTCTGGGTGAAGCTGAACCCCCCCCCCCGCCCTGGCGAGGCAACGTCGTTAGGGATGCCGGTAACGAACAGTCGCTTGCAGTGTTGCGAGAAGTACTGCTTTGCTGAATGATTTCAATGTTCTCTTGTGCCAGTCTTGTAGCCCCCCCCCCCACTCCTCCACCCTCGGCCAGAAATGTAGGTGCGTGGATGAGGCAGTGGCCGCATGCTGCGGGCTCTGATTAAAAGGGCACGCAGTGCGTGTGCAGCAGGAGCCATCATCTCGACTCGTGGGACACTGCGTGCACCACTGCACGCGAATTGCTCTCTCTCTCGTAGACACACACACACAGAGACAGATGACGATTCAGAGGAAACAAAGACAAGCCAAAAATTGCCAAAGCTCTGCGGCCCTCTATATTGAGGCGTTATCGGCCAACGAATGAGTGTTTACGCGGGACAGCAAACTGGAGCACGCAGAGAGAGAGGAACCGCACGCGTATTTGCGACAGGGGAAACACTGCGCCCCTTAGGTGAACTTCCACGTGGGTAGAAGGGAGTTTCACAAGATCTGTACGAACACACTCCTGTACATTTCCGGTTTTCTGACCGCGCCATCAGCAGTTCGCCACGCACGATTAACATTATAATTTTGGCCCAACTAAAATGTATCTATGTAGCTCCTTTTAAGAAGCGACCTGGCCACAAATGATTGCTCAACGAAGTGGCACATCACGTGGAAATTCACGGCAGCCATATACTCTAAACGCGTGATGTTGGGTCTAAATGTGGAGGGAAAGAATCGGAGGACCAGAAGGAAAATCCACGCGACCACGGGGAGAGAGACACGCAAACTCCGAATATACAGCAGGGGTTCGTGTCGACCTCCTGCATACCAGGCGAGGTATGCAGGAGGCCGTGACATCTCTCGGTCGTAAGCAGTGGCCGGATAGACAGGCGCTCTGGCGTAACCTTGTGACGATGACACACACGAGGATGCCACCATAGCCTCGTATCGACTGCTGTGTTGTCAGCTATGCGCCTACGAAGGCCTGAAGGGCGCACGAGGGGGTGGTGTGGCTACCATCACGCCCGGCCGCCGTTGTGTCACCCAACGCGAATGTTTATCCACCACACCAGG